AAGGAAAGGAAAAAGATGAGATAGCCTGAACCCTATTTTGGTCTGGATGTTGAAAACATGATACCCTGTGGAATTCGTAAAAGAGAGGCTTCCCAAGTACAAATATAATAAGCTTTGTGTTTACATACTTCAGAAGAAATGGACTATTCTAGTCCTCTACTCTTATCAGAAGAAAAAAAAGAACGAAAGGAAGACAGACATATATTTTTAAAAAATGACTTGTGAACATCAAGTATATTTTCTCTCTTGTCTAAAGTCTCTTAGGCATTTAGCTGATATCTCTGATGAATTGGACATTTCTTTGTCACTAGCAAGACTTGCTTCTGAAATACTACTTGATTTACAATCATTGTACAGTATCTGTTTTTTTTTTTTATTCCAAAGCAGTTCAATGTTGACAGCTCTTTTCACTTTTTTCTGAATATCAGAACATATGATCACATCAAGCTGGCTGCAGGCTCCAGTGCTGACATTTTCTAGCGCAAAGAATGCCCATATCACTCGAACATTTGAAAAGTGTTAATGAGCAGATCAAAAGGACTGTTGCCTCAAGCAGCTAACTTTTTCCTTTTTTTTTAAAAAAAAAAAAAAAAGAAATCGGCTCTTCTCCAAACTGAAATCTTCATTCTAGCAGCTAAGTAGATGAGATGTAATCCTCCCTGATGATGATAATAACAAATGAAAAAAAATTGGAGAAGAATCAAACTCTGCATATGGTTCATAAAGTGGTGAAAGTGTTTTCCAGAATTTTCAATACAGAGCTGAAGGATGCAAAGTGGAAGAAAAAAAAAAACCCTGGCAAGTAGGCAATATTATGCCTTTTAAAATCTGCAAATTCTCATAAAATATGGTGCATATGAATACATCCTATTCTGAAATGAATGTGTTCTTCCACTATTTAATATAAGAATGGGATTCTCATGACTGTTATTTTTAATGTATTTGGACAACATTAAGCTTTCTTTTTCTCTTGAACTAGTTTTACTGAAATGTAGGAATGTTAGTATAGCACAGATTTTTTGCCATTTTTGGATTTGGAGCCATTTGGCCCCAGATTATTTTCACCCTCTCTCGTTATTTATGAGGTTGGTGTGTTAGAATAGAGAGACAAAGCATGTTGAAGCCTCACAAGGAAACCATTTTATTTTCTCAACCAGAATTTCTAGGTGAGTGATGTTAGGATCATTGTTAACATGTTTTGTTCCTCCAAAATGATGATTAAGTCTTACATACTTATCACGAGCTTTAAATAACTTTGGATTTTCTGTCATTTAAGAAGTAGCCCATCCATCCAAGTAAGTAACAACGACTCAAAAAAATCTGGCAGTCTAAATATTTATTTTAAAGAAATGTCATATGGCATAAGTTGAGCTCAGAGTTTGGAGGTCGATGGACCTGAATCCATGGTTTCTCTTTGTATTTGGACAATTATTGAAATTAGAATCTCTGTTCTCTCTATTTGAAATAGAGATAAGCATAGCAAGTGCACAGGTTTATGAAAATAAGAGACAAATTGAGTGTCTGTCACACAACGATGCTGATAAAGGATGGTTGTTATAACTAAAATGGATGGCACACATGGGCCTCACCCCTTGTTTTGTTGTTGTAGGACGGTTGTCTCTCTGAATTTACTAGATTGAGGTTTAAAGTAGGTAGAACTTTAAGGGCTTGGTTTTCATTATTAACAATGTAAAAAATACACTTGCCAGGACTTCAGAATCACAACAGATCATGCCTTTACTCATACAAAATTTCAGAAAGAACAAGTTTGTTCATATCTTTTCAAGAACAGACTCCATGGTTTTTTTGGAATGGGACTGGTATGTGTGCCCATAATTATCACCATATGCACCAGCCCTCCCATTCCATATATTAACTCGCTGAATACATACTAAAGAAATGGAAAAGTTCACCAAATAACTAAACGCCATTTCATGAGGAATGACGGATACATAGCATTCTAGAGTGGGATTTTTTTCTTTTTCTTTTTTCTTCTTTTGTTAGTTGTGGGGCCTGGGCACTCTCCCTGAGCCTATTTGTGCTCAAAGTTAGCGCTGTACCACTTGAGCCACAGCCCCACTTATGGTTTTTTGAGTGGTTAATTGGAGATAAGATATCACAAGGACCTTTCTGCCCAGGTTGCCTTCAAACCATGATCCTCAAATCTCAGCTCCTGAGTAGCTAGGATTTCAGGCATGAGGCACTGGCACCTGGTTGGAATTCATCTTGTTTAGAAGAAAAAAGTGTGTGTGTGTGTGTGTGTGTGTGTGTGTGTGTGTGTGTGTGTGTGTATGTTTGAGAGAGAGAGAGAGACAGAGAGACAGAAAGACAGAGAGATAGACAGAGAGACAGAGACTGTTTACACACTGTAGAATCAGGACTAAAAAATGGAAACTGCCTGAGAGAAGCTTTGGCTTTATCTGGGGAAAATACTTGCAAATGATTAATTCTGTGTGAATGGAACAAATTGCTTTGTGAAGCAGTGATTTTCTCTATTCCAGCAGTCCAAACATAGCTGAATTACTATTTGGTGGGATTTTTTTTTCAGAATATTGAACTTTGGGATCTGCGTGCCTTTGGAGTGTTTTCAAAATGTTATACTCAACACCTTTAAGCTCCTGAGAACCCTGAATTTATGTTGGGAATGGAATAGGAAGAATCCTGTTTTTCTTTTCCTGTCTGTCCCTTTTCAGCTTCCCATCACTTCCTTTTCCCGCTTTCCCTCTCCTTCATGTCTCCCTCATATTTTCTCTCTGCCTACTTCCTTTTTTAATGTCTGCCTTACTTCCTAGCAAGTTTAATTTGTATTGGATAATTAACTTGATACTGAAAATGCAATGAGAAGCAAGAAAGACAGAAAATTGTTCTCATGGAACTTAGTGCTTTTGGAGCTAGATAAAAATATCAACTCTGAAAATGCTGGGGAAGGAACAATAGGCAGCATTACATTGGTAGTATCAAGAGACTTATTTGTTTGTGGAAGGTGCGGAATTAATGGAAGAGAAGGAGAAAAGGGGAAGAAGAGAGGGAGAAAGAAAAGAAGGGGTACAGGAAGACAGATAGGAATGGAGAGGGAGTTTTAAAGAATCTGTTGCAGATAGAAATAATTTGATGAAGTCATTTAGAACTGACAAAGATTATAGATAATGCCAACATTTTGAGGTTACACAGAGTGGCTTTCTTGAAACTGGGAAGCTGAGGAGAGTTCATTTTTAAAAACAAATGACTAGTTGGTTTTGACCTTGCTGACAAATCTGGTTTTTCTGGCTTGTTCTGATATAATAATAATACTTGTAGTGATAATAATACTCTTAATAATAATAATAAAGGAAATGTACCCATTGTTTGATAGTCTTAAATTAGTTTTGTTTGAGTATAATATTATTTTAAATTTTAGTCTTCTAATGGTACTTATCTCTTGAATAAATGTCAAGAAATCATAGATTTTTTTCATCCTTTAGTTCTTAATATATTAGGAACTAGAATGAATGTTTATTGATAGACTAAGACTAAATAAAATAAGTGCTAAATAGAAATAAATTGCACTTTTGTAGTATTTAATTTTTCTTGTCAGTTGTAGGGCTTGAACTCAGGGCCTGGGCACCGTCCCTGAGCCTCTTTGTATACAAGGCTAGTGCTGTACCACCTGAGCCACTGAAGCACTCTGGTTTTTGAGTGGTTAATTAGAGATAAGAGTCTCATGGGAACTTTTCTGCCTGGACTGTCTTCAAACTGCCATCCTTAGAGCTCATCCTCCTGAATAGATAGGATTACAGGCATGAGCCACTGGTGCCTGGCTTTTTGTAGTATTTAAAAGAAGATTCAGCCAAATCCAATTATTTTCCAGTTATATTCATATAGCTATAGGTATTATCTGTATATTTTTTCTGAAGTTTTAGATCCACACTCATGCTTTACAAATATACTAATATAATGAATCTTTCTGTTCTTATTCATATTCAATGATTGTCAAGTTGTTGTTGGTCTTATTTAACCTATACTCTCATCTACTTCTTCATCCCAAATAATTTGATGAAAATATCATGTCATCTTATCTGGAAATAACTTATTTTCAAATAATCTTTGAAAAACAGCCATGAAAATAGTGATATTCTAATGACTAACAGTAAATCTTTGGTGAAATAGAAATGACAATTCATCCTCAAAGTCAAGTTGTTTTAAACCTTTAAGTATATAATAACGTATCTAAAGTATCTGATATTCAATGAAGTGAAGCGGTTACATTAAGGTTTTTCTCTTTAGGATATAAGCTTGGATATGTGCCTGAATTTTCAGGAACCATTGACATTAGTAAGATATTTTCTATCATAAAGGCAAAAATCTAACTATCCCAGTACTATTTCAAATTAGACCAAAGACTCCATTTCTTTCATATGAAGAATGCATATAGTGTCATGAATAATGGTTTACAGGAAAGGAAACTTAACTAAAAAGTTGATTTGTTAAAAGTAGCTTAGAACAATTACTTACATCCTCAGTGTTCTGTGAATTAGCCTACCTCAGTTAGGAGGGTCACACTAGGAACCTCTTGCAGATATCTTTCAGGTGAACCATCTGACACCTTTACATGTCTAGAAGTCCAAGATCCATTCTTCTCTCACATGGCTGGCTCATCTGCTCGCATGGCCTGAGACAGCTGTGGACTAGCCAGCATTTGTTACCATCCGAATTCGACAAGATAGTCATAGATTTCGTTATGGTTTTATGGTCTCAGGGTAGTTCTGACTAAATGAAGTCCCAAGGGTAACAGGAGAATGGGAAACTTTTCTTTGCTCTTAGCCTCAGGAGCCCTGTGGTGCCAATTCTCCTTCATTCAAATGGTTGAACTTAGCTAGGGGTAAGCCCAGATTCCAAAGGGAGCATCGGGGGCAGGTTTCACTGAAGTTAAAAAAAAATCTTGTTAAACTTCTTTACTCTATCTTGTCTCTATGCCATGGAACTTTTTACATGTAAGCACAATTATTTATTTATTTGGACAGGTTATCAAGGATCCTCCTCCACCACCACCTCCTGCACCGAAAGAGGTAAATGAGTATTTAACAAAGTGATTCTAGTCTTTTTCTGTTCTATACATGGATGTCATCCTCAAATTTCATCAGTTCCATTTCTTATTAAAAACGATACCTAAGTATTGATGTTTTAATTGATGATAACCCATTATCATTTTTTATTTTACAGGTGATTTCTTTCATCTGCTAGAGGAATGGGTCTTACCTTCCTTGGTGGGCAAAGACTGGCCATGAGACTTTACAATAGATATATAACTTACTTTTTATAATAATGCATTAACAGTCTTAATGGCATTTCTTTTCAAACAGTTGGAAGATCCCAAATAGTTTAAAGTTCAAAGAAATTAATCTTTCTGTATGAATCTGTTAGTCAGAATCATACTGGCTGCATTAAATAAGAAATGTATTAGTATTTTGCATTTTAAAGCTTCTCTATTGATTATCTTTTCACTACAAACTTCACAGAGTTCAAACTTTCATATATATGTGTGTGTTTATATATATATAGATTTATCTATCTATCTATATTTATTTATATATATATAAATATTAAATATTTATATAAATATATATATAGAGAGAGAGCTTTAAATGATTGTTAAAATGCTTTCTGAAAGCCAGGCACCAGTGACTCACACCTATAATCCTAGGTACTCATTAAGCGGAGATCTGAGGATCACTGCTTGAAGCTACCCCAGGCAAGAAAGTGTATGAGACTCTTATCTCCAACTGACTACCCAAAAACTGGAAGTGGCACTGTGGCTTAAAGTAAAAAACCTCAGGACCTGTGCCCAGACCTTGAGTTCAAGCCCTATAACTGACAAAAAAATATAAATGCTTTATCTTTTAAAATATGAGGCAATGAATAGATTTGGAATAAACAATGAAGTTCACAGTTAAAGAGCAAGTTCTGGTGACCTAGGGGTGATGACAGGAGATACTTAAAATCTGAGGAAGGAAAGGACTTTTTATACCTTGTAGAACTTGAAGTTTATATATGAATGCATAAATGCAATATACACTCGTATATCCTCTTTATAACTTTTGCATTTTCCAGAATAATAACAACAATATTTTAAGAAATTAATTAAATGTATTAAAAAACTATATCTCCATAGGAAGAAGAAGAAGATCCTCTACCGAATAAAAAATGGCCAACTGTAGATGCCTCCTATTATGGCGGTCGAGGGGTTGGAGGAATTAAAAGAATGGAGGTTGGTATCTCTAAAAGGAAATAGAAGCTGCAAATCTGGAATGTGTATTACTCAGCTTTTAAGTCATGAAAATAATACTTTTCACAATTCACTATTAAAATATAGCCCATTTTTACGCAACACTGGGTCTTTTCTGGGTACATTTCTATGGAATCATCTGAAGCATTTAAAAACTGTTCAAGAACTAATTTTGTAAAGTCAAAGGACTGCTTTGATGCAGTCTTTGAATCCTGAAGGACACAAATAAAGCTAGGATTTTTCTCAGTATGCTGGAAAAAATTACTGCATGGATCATCAGCTTTGAAGAAGCCAGCTATTTAAAAGTTGTAACAATACTTTTCTTTGAAAAGATCTAGTAGTTATGTATTAGAAGAGAAAATATTAAAATATTCAAAAGCAGGGGTAAGTGTTTAGCATAAATAGAGGAAGCACATTTAAAACTTAGGACAGATTTAAGTTACTACTTATGAACCATTCTAATTAATAGTTATTGCTATTTATAGAATTCACTGAACTTTTCAACATGCTTAAAGTATAGATTATAATTAAGTTGGAATAGTATACCTTACAAATCAAATGAGGTTTCTATCTCTGTGACATATTTTTGCAAGTGATGGATTAATTAATAATAACCAGTCATTGCCAGCAATGGCCTCCTTACATAAATGTAGGTAAGTCAACCACTCCTTCCAAGGAGCAATCTGAGGAATTTTGTCATTGACACTTGGGCTTTATGGTTGAAGACAGATATCTGCAGTTCTTCCTTATTAGTTATCCCATAAAGTTACTTCATTTCAAGATGTTTTGGTGTGTTTTACCAGCATTGCACATGTACTATTTTCAAATTCTCTTTGTCCTATTTCTTCGAGCAAAAAATCAATGATTTAAAAACTTCACAAGCATGGCAATTTTCTGTTTATACATTTCAGTAAAATTCAGATTTCCATGGAAAGATTCTCCTTGTCAGTCATCTGACAGTGTTTCTCATTTTCTTCACTATATTAGGTCTTAAAATATGCATTTTATTGTGCCTTGTTAGGAACTTTCACATTTTTACTGAATATCTTCAGAATATCTTCTTCAGAATTATGTTCATTGCCAATAAGATATGAGAAAAGGCAGGTGCTAGAATGTATGTGTTTGCATTGTCACAAATTGTGAATCTCAGCAGTTTGAAAGGACATACTCAGACTATAGCTTATTGTCATTCTTCTCTTTGCCTATGTTGCATCTCTCTTGGTGTGGAAAACCAGACAAGAATGGAGTAGATGTTTCTGTATGTATCAAACATAACAAGTTAGTAAAATTATTACGTGCAAATATTGAAAGATGATCACAGCACTGCTTTTAGGTTTTTTTTGTTTTTTTTAAAGTTTCATTCTAATATATGTGTGTAAAAAGTATGTAAGGGTAAAAAAGTTTGAAAAGTATTCTTAAAAATGTGAATAAGTTGTTTCTGAATGGAATAATTTTCAGTGTGTTTTATATATATATATATATATATCCTGTCTTCTCATAATTTGCTTGAAAATGAACATGGATTATATGTGCTCATAGTAAATTTAATCCATGTCCAAATCCACACACTAATATACCATATTAAAATGAGCTAAGGATATATTAGCTTGTGAGTCTTAATTGGATAATGTTCTTGCTGAAAATGCTATGACTGATATTACACTTTCATTAGCAATATTCCAGTGTTCAAGCACTGAGATCTATTTCTAAAAGGAAAAAATACTTAATGAGCCTCTGAAATGCTCCAGAGTAAGAACTCTATAGCCTTCAGTTACCATAACAAACACATGAGATAAATCAACTTGAGGAAAGGTTTATCTTAGCTCACAGTTTCAGAAATTTTAACATACCAGCCTAGATTGTGTTGCTTTTGTGGCCTGTGGTGAGGTTGAACATCCTAGCAGGAGGGCATGGTTGAACAAACTGCTTACCTCCTGGCAGCTGGGAAGCAAAAAGCAAGACCAGTGTCTTACAATCCCCTTTGATGGCACTCTCAATAACCTATGACCTCCTGCTAAGTTCCACCCCTTAAAGGTTCCACTATCCATTATCACCAGCTAAAGACTAAGCCTTTAACAAGTGGACCTTTGGGGGAATCGGGGACCAATTCCTAAGGAATTGGTTTATGCTGACAAAACAAAAAGAAAAAGCATATGCGTATTCCCAAGTAGTTGTATTCAATTTTCAAGTTATTGATTTCTAATATATGAAATTATATATATATATATATATATATATATATATATATATATATATATTTTTTTTTTTTTTTTTTGGGTCCGGTCATGGGGCCTGAACTCTGGGCCTGGGCACTGTCCCTCAGCTCTTCAGCTCAAGGCTAGCGCTCTACCACTTGAGCCACAGCGCTAATTCCGGCTTTTTTCTTTTTGCTTATGTGGTGCTGAGGAATCGAACCCAGGGCCTCAGGCATGCAAGGCATGCGCTCTACCACTGAGCCACCTTCCCAGCCCCATAATATGTGAAATTATATTGCCCACCCATCCGTTTTCAGTTAAAGAGGCTTTGTGAAAAGAATACTCAGTCAACTTTCAATGTATCTGGGTCTCTTGGGTGATTTGGGCCACATTGTCTATTCCATTAATGACAGAGAATTGAGAATGAGCAGAAAATGACAAAGCAAAATGACAAAGAAATTTCAAAGGGGAATGGGGGGAGGGGGGAGGCTGGGAAGGGAGGTGAAGGGTAAACAAAGGAGGAGGCTGCAATGCTTGGTAAGAAATGTATGCATTATCCTGCCCATGTAATTGTAACCCCTCTGTACAGTATGTTCTCAAATAAAATAAAATAAAATTTAAAAAATATATACATAAAGATGCAACAGAGAATTAAATAACATTGAGCTTTCTTTTAAGTAAATTCATGTTTACATGAACTTAGAAAGGGAAACGTTCAAAACTTAATTTGTTTTAAAGGATAACTATTCAAAGTGATGGCGTACTTCACTTTACAAGAAATAAATTGGAGAAAGTCAAAGTGTAGAAATTATGAGATCATCTGAATTACAGAACAAATGTTCATAATTGAACTTACTTTTAGGATTATAGCTTTTACCTAGAATTTTTCTCCTACTCTTCTTTTAAATTAAATATTCATCTAAGTACTATGGTAATGAGATTTTTCAGGAAGCTGGAACTGAGCTGATGTTAATAACAGCTGTTAGTACAGCTAATCCTTAACAGCTTCAAATGTGTGGTTTTGCCAAATCCTCGTAAAACTGTTTTTGTTTCTTTTCTGGATACTCCAGAAAAGAAGGTATCCAAATATGCTCTAGAAATTATGGAATCTCAATTGTTAATAATGGAAGCCAAGTAGACTTAGAAGAATTTAGCTATCAAGCTTACAGCTGCTATTTTTTTCCATGCTAAAATGCTAGATGTATAAATCCTGCTAAGATTTCCTTTAGCAATTCATCTTGTTATTCTTTTGTCCTTTTAAACAATCTACAAGTTAAAACATAGTTTGCATTCTTAAATATATATGCATGCATGTACATGATTGCTTTTAAGAGTTACAGGAAATTTCTAGAAAGTAGTATTTGTGGTAATGAATCAATTTCTTCATGAACTAATGCTAATGAATTTATTTAATTAAGCCTCAGCAACCATATTCACAAGTATAGACCCTAGAGAAGTCACATTGGGTCAAACTGGAGTTTAGCTAGCTTCCAAATTTCTTTTTAATCAGTCATCAAATGCCAGTTATACTTGGAAAATAAATGTACTTACCATACTATCTATGGTATCACATAGTGAGAGCTTCGAGACCTGTATATGTTAAAATCTGTTAGTTCTGAATGGATCTAAATTTTCTCTACTTACATTTCTATTCTGAATTACTTCCCTAACTTAGGACATTCATGTTTATTTTACTGTCTATCCTCTTCTGTTTCGATTTTTGCTTTGTCTCCTTAAAAATTACAACTCTTTAACTGGGAGCGATGTGTCCTGAATAAATTTTAGAGTTTGTAACTTAATTTAGCTTTGTCTAAAGATTTTTACAAATGTTAGTTTATCTAGGTAAAGACACGGTGATTTGAAAGAGAAGGTCATTTTTTCTGGAAGGAAAGCCAACTGTCAAGCTCTAAAGGTTTAATGGTGTTTAAGACAACTTTAACAACCTCATAAAGAACATTCTAGTACCATTGATCACACTGAAATATACAGATACATTTTCATGACTCAATGGGGTCCACTTGAAATTGAAAGCTCATTCTAAAATTGTAGTTATAAAAAGATAAAAACATCTAGCCAAGCCTTATTAAAAAAAAAAAAAAACACCCAGGAATAGTTTTCTATGAACAGTAATCACCTGTATCCCTATCTGCCAATTGAAGTCATTAAAATGGTTATAAGGCTTTACTTTTTTCTTTTCTATAAATCATTAATATGTGGTATCGTAGTGGACCCTGGACAGGTCTTTTTTATATATTTCTTAGAGCTTCACTTATCTCTACCGTCTTTGGTATTGACCGGGGTAGGACTGCCTATTTCTTTGCTTCTGGTTGGAGTGTAAGAAAGTGGTTCATGCCTATAATCCTAGCCACTTAGGAGGCTGAGATCTGAGGTTTGTGGTTTGATACCAGCTTGGGAAGGAAAGTGAGTCATGCCTATAATCCTAGCTACTCAGGAGGCTGAAATCTGAGATTTGTGGTTTGATATCAGCTTGGGAAGGAAAGCTCATGAGACTCTTATCTCCAATGCACTGTATATGTCTAACACAAGCAGAAAACATCAAAAGCTATGTACATATGACCATATAAGATGTTGTTAAGCAAAATGAACCCCAAGATAGGGACACAAGTGGTTTTGTCTTTCTTGCTATTGTTTTTAATGTATTTAAAATGTACTATGTGATTTTTTGTTTGTTTGTTTCTCTTGGAATAACCCCTGTTGTCAATGTATTTGATTCCGGTGCCCTGCATCGTGTATATACATTTTTCTAATTTGGGGAGGGGAAGGGAAATAACAAAATGCTTAAATAAGGATACAGATTGACCCATTGTAACAACTTTACAAACGAACTTTACAACTTTGGGGTGGGGGGAAGAGTTTGGGGAAGTGGAGAAGGAAGGGATGGTAGGGGAAAAACAAGGGAGGAGGTAACAATGCTCCATAGGAAATGTACTCGTTACTTACTCATGTAACTGTACCCCTCTGTATAGTATTTTTACAATTAAAAACATTTTTTAAAAGCCAGAAATAGAGTTGTCTCAAGTGGTAGAGCTCTAGCCTTGAGCAAAATAGCTCAGGGACAGCACACTGAAAGGAAAAAGGAAGAAGGGAAAGGAAAGAAATGAAAACTGTTAAATCTCAGGAGAAGATAAGTTAGGAGTTAGTCTACCTACCCACCTTCTTACTCAGAGTCAAAAAGCCAACCTAATAGGAGCTGTTCCTGTAGCAAACTTTCTAATAGCAGCGTTCTCTTGATTTGAAAGGTTCGCTGGGGTGATAAAGGCTCTACTGAGGAAGGAGCAAGACTAGAAAGAGCCAAAAATGCCGTGGTGACTGTTCCTGAAGAAGAAGAGGAGCCCATCAGGCCCAAACCACCTCGGCCCAAATCTACACACCAACCTCCTCAGACAAAGTGGTACACGCCGATTAAGGTACTTGTCCAGATGTACTTGTGTCATTGAACTTAAACCTCCTAGAGCAACTACAGCTTTTATAGTCCCCAATTCCTGCCTCCTACACTTCCCAAAATTTCAAAGAGGACTAAAGTAGATCCAATGACTCATTTTATAGTTTTCAGACTAAGAGCTTGCACAAGTTTTTAATGTGCTTAACTTCTTTATTTTGTTAAAGTAGAAGCTGATGTCACTCTCTGGGAATTCACAAATCTCATTTCCTTTTAGGGCCGTCTAGATGCGCTCTGGGCTTTGTTGAGGAGGCAATACGACCGGGTGTCCTTGATGCGACCTCAGGAAGGAGATGAGGTTTGTTTATGGGGATGAGGTTGGAAAGAGCAGTGGGATTAGCATTGTCTACTGCAAATCACCCTTACATAGAGTATTTACCACATTCTGTCTTATTAGAATACATTTTCATCATTCAAGTGATGAACAAAAATCATGTACACACACTTTAATAAGCTCATTCATTGCTTCAGCATTTGACTTTGAAGACATCTTTTGAGCTTTTATGTGGTGGGCACAACAGATGGGCAACTAGGAGCTAAAGTCTTTCTTCTAGCATTTAGTAGCAGTCATAAAACATCATTTTCTAATGACATTGCTTTGACATTTTGCTCTTGTTAGTATTCATATGTTAATTGTTACAAGATGATTGAGGCTGAAAAAAAAATCTTAATTCAGTTTAGGTTTTGCTTCCAAATGTATTTTGGTGACAGACTTAAGATAAATCTTTGAAAGACTTCAGATTCCAAGTTAGATTCACTAAGAAATCATTCTTTTTCAATTTTACATTTATGCTATTTGTTTTTTATTTGTCCTTAGATGTGGGACACAAAATTTGGTATCATACTATCAATAGTTCTTTCAATTAATTGCTTGTTTTAAATTAAATATATATTATTTGATGTGTGCCTGATGCACTTTTACACTTCCACCATCATATCTATTCTTTATAGGTTTACTGCTCCCCACATTTTGTCACCTGAATTTTTTTTCTCATATCTCAAGTCACTGTTAAAACTCAGTATGGCACCTCAGGGAAATCTTTCAATCGGTGACATTCCACAATTAATTGAAAGCACTGGGTTAAAGCTGAAAACCCATCTAACAATGCAACCTCAGTTTTCCCTATCATCACAAGGATATTTTATATATGTTATAAGATTTCTCACTGAACTGAAAGTATAAAGTAGATTTATTTAATCTAGCTACACACAAAATTATTTGTTTGGGTATGTATAGCATGAGTGCCCTTTTGCTGCAAATTATTGATAGTGTTGTATATATATATATGTATATATATATATACACACATATATATATATATATATATATATATATATATAATTTTTTGACCAAGGTCATGAGTATACAACTTTTCACTTTAGGCAACTTGAGAAATCTTTGCTCTTCTTTATCTCCCCTCTTGTTTTTCTGCATTTCACAACCATTATTAAGAATGTTAGCACTTGAATTAATTCAACATAGGCAATAAGCTTTGTTTATTTATGGTAAGTAGTACCAGTACAGACACCCCATTCCCAGGCAAATATAGAACCACAACTTGGACTTTCCCAAAGAATATATGCTAGAATTGCATGACAAGAATCTTTTGAATGATTCTGTGAATTCGCTTTCTGTGCAATATTTACATTGAATTATACTTCTTTATGAAATATTTGTATTGGTCTAGGATATGTGTGTGTTAAAGCAATTCCTACTTTGTAACAATTAAGAAGGCTTGGAAACTTTGTTATTGTTAGAAATGGATGCAGTGAGGTTTACACTGCTAAGAAACAAATGAGAATACTTTTTTCATGTCTGAGTTGTATAGGAACAGTCACATCCTTATATAGAAAGAAAAAAAGCCAAAAACAAAACAAAAAAGTTATTTTTCTCCAGAGACAAAAAAACCACAATTATTTTTCCAGCTGTGACTAATAGTGCCAAATAACACAACCTCTACCTGCTCTACAGCAGGCTTTCTACTTTAGAAAAAAGAAAAAATCTTGTCATTGGTTTATAAATTGTTTACTGCACATTCTGCCTCCTGAGAGTCTGGTTTCATAAACAAAATCAGCACACACAGATCTAAACCTAGAGTCACACACATTTGCCAAGCAAGCCTTGCCACCAGCCACCATGCATTTCAAACCACATGCTCCCCTTTAATGGCTCAAGGGGCCGCGCCGGGCTCCTTTATGCCAGAACTCACTGCTGAATTCAAGTCCTTGATCAAGGAATTGGAGTTCAGGCAGGAAGTATCAAAGCCCGGTCCCGGCCATGGTTGGCTCCCACCGAGGTGCTGGGGTCTACGGGCTGGCTCTGCGTCGGGGCTCGGGGCTTTGATGGTGGCGGGAGCTCCTCCGGGTCATGAATGTTTCAGCGCCTTGCGCCAGGTGAGGCCGCGCGCCCAGGTGCGCGCTCGCAGGTTGTCGCCAACATCTGTTTGCGGCGGCGGCTGCGGGCCTCCCTGGTGCGCGCCGCGACGGAGTGCGCTGCGGGCAGAGGTGGTTGAGAGCTCCAGGAGCTTTGGGTCTCCCACACGCTGCCTGCAGGCCTGAAACACCAAAGGTAGGATCGGGGGTGGACACAGCTGCGCTCCCAAACATGCCTTAGGCACAAATAAGAGATCTGATGCAGTTTGACTCCGTTGCGGTGGGGAGAGGAGGACAGAAAGCCACTTCAGAGACACCTTCACGCTGCAACATCTGCCGCCCAGTTTCCAGGGAGTGACAGGGGACAGCAGGTACAGTTCCAAGTCTCCACGTAAACAGCCTCCATTAAGCAGTGGACTCTTTTGAAGGGCCTCCATCAAACATGCCCCAGTCCACAGCAGGAGTTTGTTTGGTTTTCAAAGCTCTGTGTGTATGTGTGTGTGTGTGTGTGTGTGTGTGAGATAGAGAGAGAGCTTTTTTTTTTTCAAACAAGGTAATTTATAAATGATGCATTACCATGCATTTTCCTTTTTAAAAAAAAAAAATTTGAAAAGCGAGTCAGAGCAGCAGAAAAGCAAAGAAAGAAGAAAGCGCCGCCCTGGTTTTGGAGTTGTTCCACAAGCCAATTAAATCTCGAAGGACCTTCTTGGCTGTAATCGAGGTTATGTTAACCTTCAGACAGCAGTTCCTCACTCCACAATGAACAGTTTGTCGATAGAAATATCCTAGTAAACAGCAGTAAAGTGCAGCCACTGGAGTTTTTGGGTTTTTTTTGCCACTGTTTATTTGCTTTTAAATTTATAGAATCTCTTATTCCAATGGATATATCATTAGAGATGTATTTTCAGGTGGATATATATATATATATATATATATATATATATATACATACATATGCTAATCTAGAAATTACATTCACTTCAACCTGTTAGTTATTTATAAAGGCTTCTTTACTTGTAGTTAGATGCCAAATTAAAATTATAAACCTAAAATAAAACAAGTACTTTTCTTTGGGGGAGGTTTCTTCGCTTCTCTGTTCTTTCCTCACCGCATTCAACTTATGAATTTATTTAATTTTCCCTGAAAAGGTTGCAAAAAACTCAGTAATTGGGCATGATACACATAGGACAATAGAATCAATTGAAATAGCAGTCTGGGAAGCAAAAGATCCAGGACAAGGTAAGATAATAAAGATTCTATGATAAGGTGAATTACTATCATTCATAAATGTTAGGCTACTTGTCCCATGCAGTAGATGCATGACCGTTGTGAGAGAACATGGTGAGATAAAGAAGGATTGCAGGCTCAAAGGTAGGCTTTGGACCAGGGAGCACTGTGGCCTTGGGATAGATACTAATGTGTGGCCCAGTTTCTGTCAGTCAGTGGTGAACTAAGCAGCATTAAGTGCACAGTGAGTTTTCAATTAAGCTATCCATATTACACGGAGAGAGCTTTTGTTAGCTATGCAGATGCGTTCTGCATTCGTTGAAATGAATGATGCCATCTGCTTTTTCAAAAATTCCATTGTAACAGAGCACAATATTGAAAACCTTCCAAGATTTAAGTTTATTGAAGTCTATATGGCAAAACAAAACGGATCTGTGAACATAGGTAGCACAAATTCATTTAGAAGACACTGGAGAAGCCTGACCACTCCCAAAGCAAATAATTTAGGCATTACTTCTGGTTTCCGTCATCTACTCCTACATTTGCATTCCTATCTCTGTCAGCTCTACTTCTGAATTCTCATGCTCAAAACAAACAAACTGGCTTTTTTTTTTCTTTTGGTGAGGTCTTGAACTTGGGCTCTGGACACTGCCCCTGATTGCTTTCTTTTTCCTTTCTGCCTTCCTGCCTTCTTTCCTGCCTGCCTTCTTTCCTGCCTACCTGCCTTCCTGTCTTTCTGCCTGATTGTTTCTTTCTTTCTCTCTATCATTTATTTCTTTCTCAAGGCTAGTGCTCTACTACTTAAGCCTTAACTCCATTACAAGTTTTTGGTGGTTAATTGGGTCTCAAGGACTTTCCTGCCCGGGCTGCCTTTGAACAGAGATCTTCAGATCAAAGTATCTTGAGTAGCTAGGATTACAGCGGGGAGCCACTGTAAAAGCCACTGTATTATGACAATTCCCTCAATGATTCCAAACTTTCCAAGGATTACTCCCAACTCCTTTGTGCTTATGTCACCCAGTGCTCAGCACTCTTAAACCACTTCATCCTCAAATTGAAAAAAAACAAAACCAAACAAACAAAAAAACAAAACAAAACAAACAAAAACCCCAGCCTGATAGCAGAGGTTTTCAGCACCTGATCTTATGTTCTGAACCACCATATTTGTAGGCTGTAAGTCACTTGTAAAGGTTTTTTAGAGCAGTTTGGAGCCTGGAGTTAAGTGATCTATTATCTGAATGCTTTTAGTACCTGGAATTACCCTATTAGTGACTGCATTCTTCCTCTAAATATTTTTTCAAGTTTCTTGTTCTAGAGGCCCAGCTCAAGTGGTAGAGCACTTGCCTAACAATTGAAAATTCTGAGTTCAATTTTCAGTCTGGGAAAACATTCTTTTAACTTTTTATATTACATTATTTGATAGTCTGAGTTACTTAATAGCATCTCTTAAGTCATTAAAAATTGGAGGTCTGTGGATGTATATCAGTAGTAGCCCACTTGGTTATTATACCTAAAGCCCTCAGCTCCATCTCCAGAATTGCAACAAATACATTAAAGATGTTAATTGCTTTAAAAGAATTACATTCTGAATTTTAGTCTTTAGATTCAGTCTAAATATTTTGGGTCATATAGCTAAACTTTGCAACAATATTAGGGACTCTAAGGTCTGGGTAGTCTGGGTAGGTCTTCTTGTACAGA